AACATGTTTACTTTCACTTTCCCGTGACACGGTACAGAGTGTTCTTTAAGGAACATCTGGGACACACATCACATACAGATTACATACACCGCAGCTTGATTAAAAGAGTTTCGTAAAAATATCTAAATGGGGATGTTATGGCGAACCAAAGGCTAGAAGGTACTGAGGAGTCAGTGCCGCTTGTTTTGGATAGTAATAGTTAGCTAAACTCAGAATAATTGAGCTATTTCTGAAGTCTCTTCCAAGGTAAATAATACTGAGCAGTAGTGGTGAATAGTGACTTTGATTCAGCCTTGGACGAGGAACATTTTATTTACAGACTGCAATCACAGTAAGGGTCAGTAAGGATCTGATCAAGAAACACTGACAGGGTAACTAGTCATTCACAACTTCCCATTTATTCAGTGCAACTTAGTCACACAGTAACCCCCTCTATGATTACATACGTGTTAAGTAGGGGAGCTAGAGCATGGAGCACATTTGTAAGTTTGATTTATATGAATATAACTGTAAAAGTACTATATAATATTAGAACCAGAGAGGATTATGCTAATACAGTTATTAGGTTTGTAATTGACTTGCTTCATTAATGTTGCATGTTTATGGTGGGGTGCTGGACGTGTATTCCCACAGTCCTGTTTAAAAATGGCACAGCAGAAATTAGGCATGGTGCCGTTAATGACTGCAGTCCTGCCATTGGATGGCTCAATGGCACTGACATAATTACAGGCATGATGCCGTTAATGGTTCTGTACCTTGTGATTTTTTTGATGACCAATCACAGCAATCACAAATGTAAACACTGTAGTGTAGTGTAGTGTGGAGCTCTCCCCTTGCTTTTACAAGGGAGGAAGATTTACTAATGAAGATTTGTGATTGTAGGGATCATTAGCAGCAGATGCTGTATTGGAAGGGTTTGTAATTGTTTGTAGGATCGAATTTTTAACCCTCTTGCCCTCTCCCCAGGTACATCACATTTTCACACTGTGTCTATGTGACATGCATGTTAACTCTTTCACCTCCCTTATCCTGCACATTAACCCTATCATCTCCATCTTCCCACTGTATGTGACCTGTACTGTAACCCAGTGGTGTATTTAGGTTTTGTGCTGCCCTAGGCAACACAAATATCGTCTGCCCCCATGGACAGCGACCAACAAAACTCCCCCTTCCCCCTCCTACGGAGAGAGACATTGACCAACAACACCCCTGCCTCCCACCCAGGAGAGTCTACCACTACCCCCCACCCTCCGGCGATACAGAGACACTTATCTCCACAGCTCCAGACATCCCCGGGAACAAAAGCCAGGCTGTACATACACCATCAAGCAGCCCACAGCCTCTCTCGGATCCCACCTGGTTCCCTTGGTGCGCGTGTCCCTTCTTTCCTCCCTTCTTCTGGGGGTAAGTGCTGCCCCCCTGAAAAATGCCGCACTAGGCAAGTGCCTTGTTTGTCTTGTGTAAATTCACCTCTGCTGTAACCCCTTACTTTCTCCTCCCTCTGTGTATGACCTATACACGTATGATGTGCAGAATCTAGGACGCCATTACTAAGCTCCAGGTTTTAACCAGCTCCAATCCCAGCAGGTTTTTTTATTTAAAAAAAAAAATTTTGGCAAAAAATTAGATCACCGTGTGGTGTCTTGTTTCCAAATTTGTTTTTTTTGTATTGTCTGGGCATTTTTCTTTGATATGTTTTCTAATAAAACGTAAGGGAAACAGGTGTTGGAGCTACTAATGAAACTGTCACAAGTCTTTTCTGATTTAGGCATAGGCCATTTTAATGGAGCAATTCCCCTGATGTGTCTTGCAAGAAGTAAGTCATGTTGTGGCACTTTATTTTATGAGCTGCAACCTTTATTTTCTGATGACTGCATAAGTGAGAGGCTCAGACTATATTCTTAAATTCTTTGCGGTTTGTTGGTCTCTTCAATTCGAATTAGAAACTCCTCAAAGACTTCTTTGACTAATAGCTTAATGGATAGTTCAGTCAGTGGGCACTTGTGGGAGCACATGCTGGAAACTGAGCAGTACTTACAGTATACCATGCTTAATTCTTATATTTTTGTTGTCATTCTAATTTCAAAAGCAGTCATTATACAATTTTCCTACTACTATAAAGCTGCTGATGTCATTCTCAAATTAGTAATTTTGTGCTGCTCTTTGATGCTAATGTAAATTAGGTGATGGAATTACAAATAGGTACTTGTCCAGTGAAATAATAACCATTTGAAAGCAGTATAAACAAAAAAATATTTCTAAATTCTGTAAAGAGGAAAACAAGCTGTTGCGACTTTAAGACTTCATGCACATGGTCATGCAGGGGACGTACAGTGTGCATAGCCCAGGATAATCTAGAGCCCAGGGCAAGGATGTCAAACTGTGCTCCCCAACTCCCAAGATGATTGAGGATTATGTGTTGGCAAAACCACCCCCCCCCCCAAAAAAAAAAAAAATCAGGTACACTAATAAGCATATATTGCTTTTGCAAACCAAAAATACTCTCCAAACAAATATTTCCCCTCCTCCCAGTACAAATCCCCCTCCCTGCTGAAATCCCCCCCCCCAGCATAATCTTTAACCCCCTTGACCCCTTTCCAGCTCCAATCCTCTCTTTCCCAAAATCTCTCCTCCTAGCACAACAACCCTCCCTTGAAAAAAAAAAATCACCCATTCTAGCACAAATCCCCGATCCCTTAAAGTTTCCCTCTGAGCACAAATCCCACGCCCCCCCCCCCCCCATTCCATACACCCCCACAAGCACATACCATTCTCCAGCACAAATCCACCTAATCTCTACTAGCATAAATCCTTCCCACCCAATCTCCCTTCATAACACAGATTCCCCCACCCCCAAGAAAAAATTTTGCTTACTAGCACAAAGCCCCCTCCCCCAAATCCCCCCTGCTAGCTCAACCCCCCCCCCCCCCCCAATTTTCACATGAGCACAAATCCACCCAAAACCCCCATCCTAAAATGAGTCCCCCCTTAAAAAAGAATTTCCCTTACTAGCACAAACCCCTCCAAACACCATTCCTAGTATCCCCCCTTAAATCACCCCCTACACAAACCTCCCCCCTCAGTCCCCTCTCCTGGCACATAACCCCCACCCCCTCTAAACCTCTCACTAATCCTTCTCCTCCCCATGCTCCCAGGGCCCAACTCATCTTGGCACATTTGCGTTTTGGAGGAGCCTCTGGCAAGTAAACTGAACACTTCTGCCAAGAAGCCGGTGGGAAGAAATGCATGCTGGGAACACCTGACTGTCTGATCGGGACTTTACAGGTTTGCAGACTCTGCACAGTCCCACTCTGACAGTCCCGATGCAGAGGCGACTCAGGAGGAAGAGCTGGAGGAGACAGAGAGCACCTCCTCCCACCTATCTTCTGCTCTCCGAATTCGGCTTGTGACATCCCACGCTGAGCTGACAGGAGTAGTGATGCTGCTGCTGCAGGGCACAGATGGGTGGCACTGATGGACACAGGTAGGTGGCACTGCAGGGCATAGGTGGATGGCACTGATGGGCACAGGTGGGTGGCAATACAGGGCACAGGTGGGTTGCACTGCAGGACACAGGTTAGTGGCACTGCTGGGTGGTACTGCAGGGCACAAGTGGGTGGCACTGATGGGCACAGGTGGGTGGCACTGATCATCAGGGCACTGATCAGTGCCTTGATAATCAGTGCCTATCCGTTCACTGACAATTGCCAGTTCTCGGCAGTACTTTCCTCGTGCTGTGTCATTGGACACAGCTGATCGCGTGATAAAAAGCCACTGTGATTGGCCGTTTACCATATCACATGATCAGCTGTGTCCATAGGACACATCGATCATCGGCGAAGCCAGGTTTGTGCTGCAGGGGGGCGTGTTCTGGAATGACGTCCATGGATGTCGTCCCAGGATTACACAACCACACTGTAGCCGTCCTTTGCCTATAACGCAGTTGGGAACTGGTTAACCCCTTATTACATAGACTTAGACCCAGTGCACCCTCTTAGCCTCCTGAGAAGTGGGTGTTTGGGTGTCTTAGTCAGAAGAGCGACTCAGATACAGAAAGCACTGAAAGTGGCAGCCAGAGGGAGAGGGGGGTTATTTGCAGTTGATGGTGATGAAAGTTTTTGAGCTTTGGAAAGTCTAAGTATGATGAAAAGTCACTTTGTAAATGCAATTCCAATTCTCTCTCAGGGATTGCTTTTTTCCGGCCTGGCACTGGTAGCCTGCACAAAGCATTTTCCTTTCCAGCTCATTTATATTTAGTGCTAATTTCAAAAGTTTAGAAATATTAAAGCTGGCCATACACCAGTAGAAATTCAGCCAATCCCCTCTAGAGCCCCTCCCAAGGCGTGTACCTCCCTACTCGACAGAAGAAAAATGTTTAATTGATTTGTGTCCAAGGGACATGTAGGAAAATATTCTGTTGATCAGTGGCTAGAGGTGGCACTGTCAGAATACAGTGTCCAGGTGGGGGAAGAAGTCCTCCATTCACCCTATTTGTGTGCATAGAGGAATCTGTTTTTTTTTTTAGCTCAGTCCTCGGAACAAATAAAAAATAATATCCATTTATGGCCAGCTTTAGGCTTCATTAAAGTGCTACTAAACCCATAACAGTAAAATCAGTCTGTATATGCAGTAAAGCATGCTTGCTATACTCACTGTGGAACCTAAGGGATTAATCCTCTGCATTGTGTAATAAGGATGTTTGATCCTGACTTCTCTGCCCCTCCTCTTGTTCAAATGACCAGGTCTTATCTCCTGATAAGACAGACTGAACCCTTTGCCATTCTGCACATGCTCAGTTTAGTGTGTATTGCTAGAGAGTTTTTTTTTCTTGGAGAGTGCATATGACCAGCACAGGGCCAATCAGCACTTTCCAGACAGAGGTCAGGGGTTTTGCATCCTCCTAGAGCAGAAAGAACACTCCTCTACAAGCTTTAACCATTGCTCTGTTGAACACTGATAGAAGTTACAAGACTGCTCTAACTGCTGATGAGAAAATGTATTTAGCAGTTTATATTTACTAAAATAATTGCACTTCCATGTTCTGTGTACTGTGGGAGACCAGATATAGTGAATGCAGGGTCTAGGGTTTAGTATCACTTTAATGCCAAGGAGATCCCTTGCAGTGTGTTTAACGCACACATAATAAAACGCTTTATGTTGCGTGTTAATGTCTGTTGTGTCAAGGTAGCCCTTTCATTTAAATAAGCTGCCAATGCACTTTAATGAATCAAAAATTAGACCTGCACAAATTTTGTAACACATTGCACCGCAATGTATAGTATTGTGTAATTGTGTGTTCAGGCACCCTACAATGCAGGTGCAAATCCTTAGTATGTTGGGTACCATTGAAATTGAATGGCACTGCAATGCACTAATGCATATATGGTAACTTATGTTTGTTGCAGTAAAGGGTGTGTTAACATGCACATTGCCTCACAAAACCTACAGGCTCACCTGCCCTACACCAAGAAATGTTCCACTTTCATTTTCCTCTCTCTGTCTCTCTCTTCCTCATTTGCTCAAAAGAAGACAAGGGGGCACTCTTTACGTCTGGAGGAAAAGAGGTTTAATCTCCAAACACAGAAAGGGTTTTTCACATTAAGAGCTGTGAAAATGTGGAATAGACTCCCTCAAGAGTTGGTTCTGGAAAGCTCAGTAGATTGCTTTAAAAAAGGTCTGGATTCTTTCCTAGATACACAGAATATAACTGGATACTAACATTTATAGGTAAAGTTGATCCAGGGAATATCCGATTGCCTCTTGGAGGGATCGGGAAGGAATTTTTTCCACTGCAGGAGCAAATTGGATCATGCTTTGCTGGGTTTTCATGCTTTGCTGTGCCTTCCTTTGTATCAACTGTGGGTATAGAATTATAACTCATTTGATATAAGTATCCGCAAATCTTTTTTCTCTGTAGTTCTGGCCAAGACTGTACCCCCAATGCTGTACTCTGTCAAGGGATTTCTTTTGTCCTAGGTACATTATTTTACATTCATAAACATTGAATTGCAGTTTCCACTGCTTTGACCAATATAACAGTAATGCCGAATCATGTTCCATGTTACAGACACCCCCAGGGATGTCAACCCTATTACACACCTTTGTATCATCAGAAAAAGGATTTACCCCTTACCCACCAACCCTTTAGTTATATCACTTATATATTGAATAAATAGGATAGGACTTAGTAGAGAGCCTTGTGGTACACCATTAGTGACTGGTCTGAGTTCTGAATGAACCCCAATTACAACCATACTCTGGTATCACTGGCAAACCCTCCATTTTGCTGTGTCAAACTAAGCATGCTGCAACCTTTGTCTCCATTTGTGCATGCAATGCAGCTAGTACCGTCATTTCAGTGTGCACAATGGAGAGAGACAGACAGAGAGAGAGGGAGAGAACCAAAGAGACAGAAAATGAGAGAGAAATAAGGAAAGAGAGAATAGGGGGGAGAGACAGGAAAGTGAAAGATGGCAAGGAGAAAAGGGAGAGCAAGAATGGGAAAAAAATAAATCTTTAAAGAGTACGTAAACCCAACATTTCAAATTTCTTATATTTTTTTATTCAGATTTTATTTTGAAAACTTTTTATATTTTAAAACACATAAACATATACACAAAACAAGAATATCTCAAAAGTACTTGACAAAGCAAAAATACAAACAAAATATAAAACCCACACACAAAGAAAACCAAAACACCCAGAACCCAACCTGGAGCATGCCCAAATCTGCTCAAAATAATAAATGAATGGAGAGCCTTTTAACATCCCAAAACAGGTCCAATATTATATATTGGACCCATTTTAAATATACTAGACAGTGCCACAATACCCAAAGTGGCCTACATCCTAGCTCGAAACTGGACTCTAGCCAAAACTGGAACTAGCCAAAATGACCAATTTAAACCTCTTTAGTGAATTTTTAAGAAGGCAAGTGTGTCTCTCATATGAAATGCACATATTAAGATTGATTATCCAATCAGATAGAGTTGGAGGGTGTAGCGAAGACCATTTAAGACCACATATTTCTGATATGTGCCTGCTGTACCATGTACTTGTACAAAAATGTATCCTGTTCTCTTTGTATTGCTTCCTTTGTGTGAAATCCCTGGTGTTCCTGCCAGTCCCTCTGGTTTCCTATTAATAACTGACCATACTAAGCAGGAGAACACAGACATTCACTGGGGAGATCAGTGTCTGCTGTTTCTCCTCCCCCAGTTCTTAGCTGAGAACAGAGGGCATGTAATCATTTATCAAAAAAAAACGGGGGGGGGAAGTGTTTATGATATATACAGTATCTCACAGAAGTGAGTACACCCCTCTCATTTTTGTAAATATTTTATTATATCTTTTCATGTGACAACACTGAAGAAATGACACTTTGCTACAATGTAAAGTAGTGAGTGTACAGCTTGTATAACAGTGTAAATTTGCTGTCCCCTCAAAATAACTCAACACACAGCCATTAATGTTTAAACCGCTGGCAACAAAAGTGAGTACACCCCTAAGTAAAAATGTCCACATTGGCCCCAATTAGCCATTTTCCCTCCCCGTTGTCATGTGACTCGTTAGTGTTACAAGGTCTCAGGTGTGAATGGAGAGCAGGTGTGTTTAAATTTGGTGTTATCACTCTCACTCTCTCATACTGGTGATTGGAAGTTCAACATGGCACCTCATGGCAAAGAACTCTCTGAGGATCTGAAAAAAAGAATTGTTGCTCTACATAAAGATGGCCTAGGCCAGTGATGGCGAACCCGTGGCACGCGTGCCACAGCCGGCACGCCGAGCCTTATCTGTGGGCACGCCAGGAGAATCCAGCGGCGCGCTGTCTTCCCGGCTGTAGTGTGCGTGACAGCCGGGTCCCAAGTGCGCATGCACAAGAAGCAGTGCTGTTTGTGAATGGTAAGGCGGTACCTGGGACACATGACAGATCCCAGAAGCCGCCGGACCAATCACAAAGCGCAGCGCTTCTCGCGCATGCGCACTGGGCATCCGGCTGTCCGACGAGGGCCCACACTACAGAAGCCGGAAAGACAGCGCGCGGCTGGATCGAGGAACAGGTAAGATAAAAAAAAAAAACTCTGCGGAAGTAAGAGCGGGTACCTGTCAAATTCAGGTACCCGCTCCCCCTCCCTCCCCAAAGGTCCGCAGTCTCTGGTCATCTCTGTACTGTCCGCAGTCTCTGGTCATCCCTGTGCTGTCCGCAGTCTCTGGTCATCCCTGTGCTGTCCGCAGTCTCTGGTCATCCCTGTGCTGTCCGCAGTCTCTGGTCATCCCTGTGCTGTCCGCAGTCTCTGGTCATCCCTGTGCTGTCCGCAGTCTCTGGTCATCCCTGTGCTGTCCGCAGTCTCTGGTCATCCCTGTGCTGTCCGCAGTCTCTGGTCATCCCTGTGCTGTCCGCAGTCTCTGGTCATCCCTGTGCTGTCCGCAGTCTCTGGTCATCCCTGTACTGTCCGCAGTCTCTGGTCATCCCTGTACTGTGTCCCCAGTCTCTGGTCATCTCCTGTACTGTGTCCGCAGTCTCTGGTCATCCCTGTACTGTCCGCAGTCTCTGGTCATCCCTGTACTGTGTCCGCAGTCTCTGGTCATCCCTGTACTGTGTCCGCAGTCTCTGGTCATCTCCTGTACTGTCCGCAGTCTCTGGTCATCTCCTGTACTGTTCGCAGTCTCTGGTCATCTCCTGTGCTGTCCGCAGTCTCTGGTCATCCCTGTGCTGTCCGCAGTCTCTGGTCATCCCTGTGCTGTCCGCAGTCTCTGGTCATCCCTGTGCTGTCCGCAGTCTCTGGTCATCCCTGTGCTGTCCGCAGTCTCTGGTCATCCCTGTGCTGTCCGCAGTCTCTGGTCATCTCTGTACTGTCCGCAGTCTCTGGTCATCCCTGTGCTGTCCGCAGTCTCTGGTCATCCCTGTGCTGTCCGCAGTCTCTGGTCATCCCTGTGCTGTCCGCAGTCTCTGGTCATCCCTGTGCTGTCCGCAGTCTCTGGTCATCCCTGTACTGTCCGCAGTCTCTGGTCATCCCTGTACTGTCCGCAGTCTCTGGTCATCCCTGTACTGTGTCCCCAGTCTCTGGTCATCTCCTGTACTGTGTCCGCAGTCTCTGGTCATCCCTGTACTGTCCGCAGTCTCTGGTCATCCCTGTACTGTGTCCGCAGTCTCTGGTCATCCCTGTACTGTGTCCGCAGTCTCTGGTCATCTCCTGTACTGTCCGCAGTCTCTGGTCATCTCCTGTACTGTTCGCAGTCTCTGGTCATCTCCTGTACTGTCCGCAGTCTCTGGTCATCCCTGTACTGTCCGCAGTCTCTGGTCATCCCTGTACTGTGTCCGCAGTCTCTGGTCATCCCTGTACTGTCCGCAGTCTCTGGTCATCTCCTGTACTGTGTCCGCAGTCTCTGGTCATCCCTGTACTGTGTCCGCAGTCTCTGGTCATCCCTGTACTGTCCGCAGTCTCTGGTCATCCCTGTACTGTGTCTGCAGTCTCTGGTCATCCCTGTACTGTCCGCAGTCTCTGGTCATCCCTGTACTGTCCGCAGTCTCTGGTCATCCCTGTACTGTCCGCAGTCTCTGGTCATCTCCTGTACTGTGTCCGCAGTCTCTGGTTATCCCTGTACTGTGTCCGCAGTCTCTGGTCATCCCTGTACTGTCCGCAGTCTCTGGTCATCCCTGTACTGTCCGCAGTCTCTGGTCATCCCTGTACTGTGTCTGCAGTCTCTGGTCATCCCTGTACTGTGTCCGCAGTCTCTGGTCATCCCTGTACTGTCCGCAGTCTCTGGTCATCTCCTGTACTGTCCGCAGTCTCTGGTCATCTCCTGTACTGTCCGCAGTCTCTGGTCATCCCTGTACTGTCCGCAGTCTCTGGTCATTCCTGTACTGTGTCCGCAGTCTCTGGTCATCTCCTGTACTGTGTCCGCAGTCTCTGGTCATCTCTGTACTGTCCGCAGTCTCTGGTCATCTCCTGTACTGTGTCTGCAGTCTCTGGTCATCCCTGTACTGTGTCCGCAGTCTCTGGTCATCGCTGTACTGTCCGCAGTCTCTGGTCATCCCTGTACTGTCCGCAGTCTCTGGTCATCCCTGTACTGTCCGCAGTCTGGTCATCCCTGTACTGTCCGCAGTCTCTGGTCATCCCTGTACTGTCCGCAGTCTCTGGTCATCCCTGTACTGTCCGCAGTCTCTGGTCATCCCTGTACTGTCCGCAGTCTCTGGTCATCCCTGTACTGTCCGCAGTCTCTGGTCATCCCTGTACTGTGTCCGCAGTCTCTGGTCATCCCTGTACTGTGTCTGCAGTCTCTGGTCATCCCTGTACTGTGTCTGCAGTCTCTGGTCATCCCTGTACTGTGTCCGCAGTCTCTGGTCATCCCTGTACTGTCCGCAGTCTCTGGTCATCCCTGTACTGTCCGCAGTCTCTGGTCATCTCCTGTACTGTGTCCGCAGTCTCTGGTCATCCCTGTACTGTGTCCGCAGTCTCTGGTCATCCCTGTACTGTGTCCGCAGTCTCTGGTCATCCCTGTACTGTGTCCGCAGTCTCTGGTCATCCCTGTACTGTCTGCAGTTCTGGTCATCCCTGTACTGTCCGCAGTCTCTGGTCATCCCTGTACTGTGTCCGCAGTCTCTGGTCATCCCTGTACTGTCCGCAGTTCTGGTCATCCCTGTACTGTCCGCAGTCTCTGGTCATCTCCTGTACTGTGTCCGCAGTCTCTGGTCATCCCTGTACTGTCCGCAGTCTCTGGTCATCCCTGTACTGTGTCCGCAGTCTCTGGTCATCCCTGTACTGTGTCCGCAGTCTCTGGTCATCCCTGTACTGTGTCCGCAGTCTCTGGTCATCCCTGTACTGTTAATTAGTTTGCACTACTGTACGAGTTGTTTTTTCTAAACCAAAAGCTCGATATTCAGGTTTCATTGCAGTGTTGGCACTTTGAAAGAAATAAGTTGGTTTTGGGTTGCAGTTTGGGCACTCGGGCTCAAAAAGGTTCGCCATCACTGGCCTAGGCTATAAGAAGATTGCCAAGACCCTGAAACTGAGCTGCAGCACGGTAGCCAAGACCATACAGCGGTTTAACAGGACAGGTTCCACTCAGAACAGGCCTCGCCATGGTCGACCAAAGGAGTTGAGTGCACATGCTCAGCATCATATCCAAAGGTTGTCTTTGGGAAATAGACGTATGAGTGCTGCCAGCATTGCTGCAGAGGTTGAAGGGGTGGGGGGTCAACTTGTCAGTGCTCAGACCATACGCCGCACACTGCATCAAATTGGTCTGCATGGCTGTCATCCCAGAAGGAAGCCTCTTCTAAAGATGATGCACAAGAAAGCCCGCAAACAGTATGCTGAAGACAAGCAGACTAAGAACATGGATTACTGAAACCATGTCCTGTGGTCTGATGAGACCAAGATAAAGTTATTTGGTTCAGATGGTGTCAAGCGTGTGTGGCGGCAACCAGGTGAGGAGTACAAAGACAAGTGTGTCTTGCCTACAGTCAAGCATGGTGGTGGGAGTGTCATGGTCTGGGGCTGCATGAGTGCTGCCGGAACCGGGGAGCTACAGTTCATTGAGGGAACCATGAATGCCAACATGTACTGTGACATACTGAAGCAGAGCATGATCCCCCTCCCTTCGGAGACTGAGCCGCAGCGCAGTATTCCAACATGATAATGACCCCAAACATACCTCCAAGACGACCATTGCCTGGCTAAAGAAGCTGAAGGTAAAGGTGATGGACTGGCCAAGCATGTCTCCAGTCCTAAACCCTATTGAGCATCTGTGGGGCATCCTTAAATGGAAGGTGGAGGAGTGCAAGGTCTCTAACATCCACCAGATCCGTGATGTCGTCATGGAGGAGTGGAAGAGGACTCCGGTGGCAACCTGTGAAGCTCTGGTGAACTCCATGCCCAAGAGGGTTAAAGCAGTGTGGGAAAATAATGGTGGCCACACAAAATATTGACACTTTGGGCCCAATTTGGACATTTTCACTTAGGGGTGTACTTACTTTTGTTGCCAGCAGTTTGGACATTAATGGCTGTGTGTTGAGTTATTTTGAGGGGACAGCAAATTTAAACTGTTATACAAGCTGTACACTCACTACTTTACTTTTAGAAAAGTGTCATTTCTCCAGTGTTGTCACATGAAAAGATATAAAAATATACAGTATCTCACAGAAGTGAGTACACCCCTCACATTTTTGTAAATATTTTATTATATCTATACACAAATGTTTTGCTTTTCATTTCTATTTTAAACTGAATGAGTTGGTTTATTTGTAGGTGAGGATTTATTTATACTTTAAATAGACCTAAACAATTTTTGTCATCATGTCTATTTAAATTACAGTAACTCATTTTTTTGACTGATTTCTCCATTTTTAATACATATTTTGCATTCCCATACTATATACTTTATAGTTTGAGTATAAACTTTTTTTTTTACTGTTGGGGCAATGAAGGTTTGGGAAGAGTTTGCTTGTCCTTGGTCTCACTAAGGTTGAGAGCCAGTAATTCACACAACGCGCTGCATTGCAGCACAAGCACATGTTCAATAACACGCTACCATGCATTGCGGTGCAGTCCATCAGCAAAAATGGTGCAGGTCCAATTTCATTGTGGTGCAGTGCATCAGAAAAGAAGGCAGGTCCAATTTTAGCTGCATTGTGGTGTCTTGGCAGCCCACTTAAATGAATAGGCAGCCTTCAAGTGACACTAAACTCTGGTTTAAAAAAAAAATATATATATATATATATTTAAAAATGTATTTCGAACTCAGAAAAGTACCTCATATTACTCTCAGCCTCCCCCAAAACAATTAATTATTTTTTTTTTCTGCTGCTATAATCTGACTTCCTGTTAGAGGATAGCTACATTCCTTTTTCTCTTGGTCCCTCCTGAGATTGACTATGGACTATGGAATTTGTAGGGTGCATAGAGCAGGGCACATGGCCACAATTCATGTGCCCTCCTTGTAACATCCGCTGTAAGTTGCTGAACCTCTACTTTTCCCTCTTACTTCCAATTGTCTGAAACGAGCAGTGCACGTTAATTGTAGTCGTGTGCACTGCTCAGTCCAGAGAAACAGAAGTAAGAGGGAAAAGGAGAGGTTCTGAAGCTCACAAAGAACATAATAAGAAGGCAGAAAAACAGACTTACCCCTGGTCACCCTTGGTTTTTTGCACAAGCATGAGAGCCCATTCATTTGAATTGACTCCCGTGCCCGTGACACGCAGGGAACAAGTCTCTGCACTTCTGAAAACGCAGCCCACACAGGAACTTCGGTTCCCAGTACGGTTGCATTTTCCAGTGCGCGCGGCGTGCCATTAGAACTAATGGCACCCGCCTGCGGGTCCTCATTCCTCTGTGCGGGTGGTGCAGCTACACGGATTTTCACACATATGTGAACCAGGGCTTAGAAACAATGTAATTAAAAATAGACTATGGGGACAATAATTAGTGGAAGTGTATAGATTATTTTTGGAGAATAAGGATATAATTCAGTGTCAATTTATCAACACAGGTTGACGCTTATTTGTTAAAACACCGTAAGGCAGTTTAATTATCTTTCATATTTTTCAGTATTATACTATGTCACATACAATCGGGCTTATTTAGTATAAATATTTAATGATCAATGGGCCCTTTTCAGCCAGTATAACAAAAAATAACCTTTTTTTCTTTCTACAGGTAAACACGGACCTGGCACCATACTCTTATAGAGATCCATTTAAAGTGGATGTTTCCTTTAACTTGTCAGCACATTATATGATGTGAATGTGGAAATGTGAGAAATAAAATCAAAATATCAGAAAAATACCCAAGAGGCTGATTTTATTATAGAGCTACTGTGTAACCAGAAAACTCAGCAGTTGTTGCTAAGTTGCGCTAATCATGGCCGAATGATACAACGTTACAGGCCCTAGCCAGAAAAAACATGGATATAGACACTTCACTCACCATTCATTGACTGCCCTCTCTCTAGAGCCCCACCCAAGGCAAATATAATGTAATACTACTTGGAGCAGCTTAGAATTCAGAGCTGAAGTGCGGCCTGTAACTAAAAAACACAAATGTTGTTTTAGGGGTTTAATCCTAATTAAATGCAGTTGTCATGAATTCATATTAGAAAAGGAATCAGTGGAAACTTTCTGAATCATTTTACCTCTTTGATTTGTAGAATGGTTTCCTTCATTAGCTCCAGTTCTGGGCCATAGTTTATGTTTTTCTGTACTTTGCACACAGGAATTTGGTGAAAGTTCTGACGGGTTTCTGAGAGGTTGTTGGCATAAGTACTGATTTGGCCATGTGACAGACTTTGGATGGAATATGGAATAGACTGTATGATGTGTCTCTTTCAGCCATGCTAGTATATAAGCTTGCCCTGGAGCATACAGCAGCATATGAAACCCACCATTGCTATCTTTATATACAGATATACTGTACTATTAAAAGCACTGCAGTCACAAAGTAGCTGTAGTGTTGTAATATAATGTTGGTCTGCCTCGCAGTAGGCTGGATGATCAGAACATCTCCTCATTTACTCATTCAGGACCAGACAAGGAAGTGAGGAAATGGTCCTCAAAGTCATTGGTCTTCACAATGCAGCCCATGGGCCAGATGTAGCCTTTTACTTGCCTTTATCTGACCCTTGCAGTACTATTCCTCCCATCAATATGAGACTTCATTCCTTTTACTGACACCAATGATGGGGCACTATTCCTTCTACTGACATCAACGATGGGGCATTATTTTTTCTACTGACACCATGTCAGGAAGGGCACACCGAAAGAAAAAATGATTACCCTGGACAGAGTTCGGTGCACACGTCTAATACGTGTGTTTTCCTCTCGTGCTTGCAGGAATTGGGCACATGCTAATGCGCATACCGTTGGTGCCTGCACACACATGCATTTGTGACAGATATTGGCGCCAAACAGGCTATTTAAACTGGGCCAGTGCTCAGAATCAGTGCTGCTTTGTCTTTAGCCTTCTATGTGTCCTGTGATTCTGTATCCTGATTCTTTGTTGCTGACCTGGCTTGTCTTCACTGCTCTCTGAACTCCTCCTGTACTGACCTCCTGTCTTCTGATCTCCACTTCTGTCTGCTCCATTGGCTCCACCTTTACTGATCGGTTCCAGACTCAGCTTGTACCCTGACCAAGTTCCTTCCCATGTACCTGATTTGTCCTGTCTGTATATGATACAGCCTGCCTGACTCTGCTGCTTTGCCTGTTATCACTGGTACCTGCCTACAATCCTGCTGTCCCAGCTGACCTACAGTCTGCTACCAGCAACAGTTTCAGCTGCCTCTTATCACCAGTACCAGCCTGCATCAGTCAGCTATCTACAGCTGCCTGCTTATTTTGAGCCTTCTGATGACTTCACCTGCCCAGCGTGGACACCTGCTCTGGTGCTAGCAAGACTTACAGGCCCTTGTGCCACTCTGTACTCCTGCATCTCCTGTCTCTACTACCAGGGACCCTGAGTCAGAGGTATACGAGAGGCCTTACTCATCATATCAGGCTCTGCTACTAGATGCATGATACACCAACAATGGGGCATTATTCCTCCCACTCATATAAATCATGGGACACTATTCCTTCTGCTGACACCAACAATTGGGCACTATTCCTCCCAAAAATAAAAATGATGGGGTACTATTCCTCCACCTACTGACAACAGGCAATATATTATATAATTGTTTTACTCTCACTGACCACCAAGCATGAAACATTGTCTACTCCCAATGATGCTGGGGCATTTTCTACTCCCATTGGTCATAGTCTGGAACCCCGAAGTCTGTAGGATGTTAAACTGGCCCTTTGTTTAGAAGGTTTGAAGCCTTGCGTACACTGAGATGCACTTGACTCCTGGGGGTATCCAGGGACTTACCAGCTGTGCTGGCTCCTTTGCATGATTCCTTAAGCGATTCCTGGCCCAACCTATGCTACCTTATCTGGTTGTGCTTCCATATTCCCACTACAGACCATACAGACATGAGGCCTGCACTGGTTTCATTACCAAGACATGTTCCCAAAAGTGGATAGGAGAAGAAGAAGCCCAGATGCCAGAAAGCCTTTTCAATGTATCAAGAAGTAGTAAAGTTCTTACAGGGGTTGCCCAGAGATCTGCATTACTGGACAGGGATGTACATAGTCCACAAAGTCCTGCTCCTTTCTTTGCCTGCTTTCCCTTAAAGGGGGAGCTAACAGATAGATCCTTATGCTATCCAAAGGCTAGCATCCTACCTAGGGTGCCCCACTGCTGGCAGGGGCAGCGCTGGCATTAATTCTCAGTACCCCTTGCCAACAAATGGCAACCTACCTATGGGAACCCCTAGTGGATCCTAAGACATTTCAATGACAGGCTGCAGCTGTATGCGTGTCACCACACATCCAAACATTTTCATGTGTACAGGGACATATGAGTGGGGAGCCCATTCTGCAACTAATTTGACCATCATTATGCAAATGGATGTATTGTACCATGATAACCAAGATGGCCCATTCCTTCTATCGTGATAACATTGGGGGGCACCAAATACCCATACCAATTATATGCATGGAAAGCTTAAAAATCTTTCTTGGTCAAACTTT